GTGTGTGTGTGTGTCTGTGTGTCTGTCTCTGTGTGTCTGTGTCTGTGTGTCTGTGTCTGTGTGTCTGTGTCTGTGTGTCTGTGTCTGTGTGTCTGTGTCTGTGTGTCTGTGTCTGTGTGTCTCTGTGTGTGTATATATATATATATATGTGTGTGTGTGTGTCTCTGTGTGTGTGTGTCTGTGTATGCGTGAGTGCGCATGCAAACGTGTGCCTGCATTTTTGGTGTGCCTGTTCTTGAGTGTTTGTGTATGTGTGCTTTTTGGATTTGGTGGTGGCGGATGTTGCTTCTTTGTTGCCACATTTGAGATCTCGTTGTCGTTGCTGTTTTGGTCTGGCCTTGGGTGAGTGTGTTTGTCTCTTTCGAATCGTGCTACTTGCTGCGTGTTAAAGTATTTTGGGGCGGGCTTGCGCAGTTCATACAGGGGCCTTACGATTAGACGAGGGGTTTGGTGTTCAATGTGCTATACCTTTCATAAGGAACCCCATGTCATAGACTTTTAGACCCGAAACCCTAAACCCTAAACTGAAACGCGTTAGCGAGTTTGGACTTGTTGCTCAGGACTCCAGTTGCAGGGGCTTCCGCCGTGACTTGCTAACTCAACCCTAAACAGTTTTCTGGTTAAACCCTAAACCCTAAACCGAAGGAAGCGACTTTGCTATGAGACCCTAGCTCCAACCATACACCCTGGACTAGACCCTGACCTATGGAACCCGAAATCCTAAACACTAAACCCTGAACCCGAAGCCAAAGACTCTTCTCCGTAAGTTCCCTCCATGCCAAGCACCGAGCCATGAACCCAGCCAGACCCAAAACCCTGAACCCAATCCAACATGGTCCCAGCACTTAGGGTTTAGGGTTTGGGCTTCAAAAGGGTTCCTGCAGAAGCATAAAAAACCCCCAAACCCAATTCTAAGTATTAAGGCCCCTATATAATATTTAGGCCCTAAAAGTAGCCCTTATAAAACCCGTTGAGGAACCCTTCAAAGGAACCCCAAAACCCTATTCTAATTATTAAGGCCCCTAAACTGGGCCCTTATAGTAGCCCTTATATAATAGGGAACCCTAGGAATAATACAGGCAATTATGAAGGCCCCTATATTAGGGCCCTAAGTCGAAGTAAACCGTTCATACTCTATAAGCGCATGGGCCCTCGGGGGATGACTCTAAACCCGAACCCCTAAACCCCAGGCGCCTTCACTGCCCCCTTCTTGTCCAGCTCGATGTTCTCGTCGTAGCCGGCCTCATAGCGCCGCTGAGCTTTTTGGAAGAAACATGGTTTAGAGCTTGGGGTTTAGGGTTTGGGGCTTTCGGGGCCTAAGCGATGGTGGGTGACGACTGTTGCACTTAATGTAGCGGCCTTAGTAGGTAGCATAGGGTTTTGGTGTATATTAAACTAGAAAGCATGATGAGGAACACCCAAAACAGTATAGGTAGTTATTAAGGACCCTGTAGCTTTGGGGTTTTAGGGCTTTAGGGCTTTGGGTTTAGGGTTGAGGGCTTAGGGTCCGACATTCACTGTGCTCCTGGGTCCTAAAACCATCTGCCGGACGTCGAAATCTCGACTTCAGGGCTGGGGACGCCCTAAACCCTAAACCCTACAACCTAAAGCCTAAACCCTAAGACCTAAACCCTACACCCTAAACCCTAAACCCTAAACCCTAAAGCCTAAACCCTAAGACCTCAACCCGATAAGGCCGATACCCGGAAACCGTGATGCCTCTAAGCTCTGAAAGCTGGACCTTCCATGCTAAGCCAACTTTAAAGATTAAACCACCTGAACCCTCTAGAACCGCAAGGCAAATCCCTCAATCCCTAGACGTTTAGGGTTTAGGGTTTAGGGTTTAACCCTAAACCGCAAAAGGCAAATCCCCGGACCCATAAAAGGCCATCCATTATGTCCAGCTTAGCGGGCTCGGCTGAGACTTCCACAGCCCCCAACCTGCGGAGCCTTTCTGCAAACTTCAGGGTTTTAGGGTTTTAGGGTTTTAGGGTTTAGGGTTTTAGGGTTTTAGGGTTTTAGGGTTTAGGGTTTAGGGTTTAGGGTTAAGGGTTTAGGGAGCCATACACAACACAAAAACCGATGTATATGTGAACAACGCAAGGTCCGAAAGACCCTGAAACACACACACTTACTGTAACAGACTGGTAGGTAGGTGTTATATATATATATGTACTGATGCAGATGGATACACAGATACCTAGATGGATACATAGATGAATAGATAGATAGATAGATAGATAGATAGATGGATGGATGGATGGATGGATGGATAGGATAAGATCAGATAAGATAAGGTGAGTTTAGATAGATAGATAGATAGATAGATAGATAGATAGATAGACAGGTAGATCGACAGATAGATAGACAGATAGATAGGCAGAGAGAGAGAGAGAGATAAGAACAGAGAGAGAGAGAGAGTAAGACAGAGAGAGCGAGAGAGAGAGCCCGACGTTTAACAATAAGCGCTACTTCACAAATTCACCCTATGCCATACACCCTAAACCCCTAAACCCTAAACCCTAAACCCTAGACCCTAGACCCTAAACCCTAAACCCTAAACCCTACATCCTACTTCAAAAAACCCACCGTTTCCAGCCTGCAGGTGCATGGCGGCCTCCAGAACCAGGTCGACACCTTCGCCGTCAAATTTGGAAGGGGAGCCTAATAGGGTTTAGGGTTTAGGGTTTAGGGTTTTGGGTTTAGGGTTTAGGGTTTACGGTTCAGGGATTTGGATAGGGACGTTCATAATCAGAATGAATGGAGTTCTGGGGAAATGTAATTGTTGTAGCATACTTTAAATGAGGCTTAATATAGGGGCATGAATCATTAGAGTGGGGCTTTGGGGCATAGTAACTGGTAAAATACAGCATACTTATCGTAATATGGAGCCCTATACGGACCAATGTGGGAGATTATTCGGGCTTCTATTGCCCAGGGTTCCTTATAAAGGGCTCCTCAACGGAATCAACAAGGGTTTTTATGACGGTAAGGTCGTGCTTTGAAGGTCCTTTATCCCTGGTACGTAATTTTTGCCGGGGTCTACATCGGGTTCCCCGATGTTCTATAGTGAAGGTCGTAGTCTAGACTCGTAGATTAAAGCTTCGGGGCTTCTGCGCTTCGGGTTGGGGAGGCTGTATATATGGGTAGTTGTCAAAATAATGGTCCCATTTGGGGTACCCTAAATAATAGGTGCCGTATTATAATAAGGACCCAAAAAAATAGGCCATAATTTTGACAACCACCCATATGCCTTATTTAGACCTTGAATGATTAGGGCTTCGCGGCAGTGTAGTCTGAGGGTTTCGGGTTTATCAGTACGGTGTAGGGTCTAAGGTTTAGGGTTTGTGGTTTCGGTCTTCGGCTTTGCGGCTTCGCGGCTCGGGATTATATCTTTGCCGGGAAGATCCACCTAACAGCGCAAGCAATGCGCATGTTGAGATGTTACAGCGTACTAACGCACGCGATGACAACATTTAATACGATATGCCATACTAGGTCATACTTCCTGTCCGCACTTCATGCCTTGGCCGTGAACCGAAACCTAAAACAAAAAAACGCGACCCTAAGGCCCTAGACATTGGGCGGTCCCCTACACACCACACGAACCCATATGAAAGCCTCTACAAACCTCACCTTCCACATGGCCATTCATTCTAAACCCTAAACCCGAAACCCTAAAGCGTCACTTTTAACTGCCATCTTCAAACACCGGAACCTGCCATCTCCGTAGGGTTTGATACCCTGCGTGTCGTAAATGGACATTCACCGGAGACCACGCCACAAGTACGTTATAGCAGCTCTAAACACCCTGAAACCCTAAATCCTAAACCCTAAAGCCTACCTTAAGAACCCGAAACCTACTTTTTTGTAGGGTCCCTGTAAATCCCATGTTAGGGTTTATAATAAGAACCTACAAAAAAGTGGGTTTTGGGTTCTTAAGGTAAAGCCTGGGGCCCTAAACCCGAAGCTCGAAAGCCCGCCACCCCCTGAACACACGCGCCTCCGGGTGGCTTCGCCAAGGCCTTCAACTCCTGGAAATCCTGCCATTTCAAGAACGATAAAGAAGTTTCTTTTCTCGGGGCCTAGACAACCTTAACCTACCAAAACCTACTTTTTTGTGGGGTGTCTATCAACTCTAGATTCGATTTTTCAGTAAGAGTCTTCTACAAAAAGGAGGTTGAAGCTAGGGTTTGGTGCTTAGGGTAAAGACCCGCGGAGCTCGATTAGAGTCCTTTGAAAGTCCTTTGTAGTGGGCCTTCTACGATATTCATCTGTTCTTGGTCCCACATGCCGTCGTAGGGTCTTGGATACGCTTCAGGGGTCAGGGCCTAGAGTTCAAATTTTAGGGTTTAGTTCCAACCCTGATTTTCCAAGTACGCCCAGCAGCCTGTTTCGGAATGCTTGTCAGGCAAACTCCAGGGTGAAGAAACGTAAACCTTCCGCCCATGCCTGCGCACGGGCTCACCAGGATTTCCAGGATTGTCGAACAACAGCCGCTCGGACTCACAGCATGAGAAACTCCGTCTCCTGTGCTGCCTGCATCTGTGACAGGGAGAGGTGCTCGGCCCTCAACCCAAAACCCTAAACCCTAAGCCCTAAACCCAAAACCCTGAGCCCTAAACCCTAACCCTAAACC